TTCACTGACGATGCCAGAGAAACGTCTGGGAATGTACCATGTCCATGGTCCGACTTTGGAAATTATCATGCATCCGGTCTAAGTGCGTTCCTCTAAGTCTTCCTACCAATATGACCAAGTTGCGTAAACAGGTCAAACAACTTCTATATAATGAAAGGAGACTGCGGCCACACCAAAAGCCACATCATCTTTGTCATCATATCTTAGACTTAATATAACCTATTTTTCTAGCTCATTCCACTTTTTTTCTGGAAACATATCGAGGCGAATTTTTTGTGAATGACTGTCAAGTTTTATTGATTCAGCCTTCATGCTCCTATTGAATGATTCCTTTTTGCTTTCAATACTATGGAACCTGTTTTTTATTTTATACCATTTGTCTACATTTTTTCATTGTTTGGACACGCTTTAGTGATTCTTCCATTCATCTACTCTACGTAGTTCATTAGTGTCTTTCATTGCCATCTTAAAGCATCTTTTGTTTCAAAAATTTATTATAACCTGATCATTACAATCTTTTTGACTTATTTTATTTCGCGTTTAAAGACATTTTTAAATTTTTCGAATATATGTCATTATTTCCGGCCTTATCTGAAGTATATCTTGTTCTAAGTGCTCCAAAATCGTATCGTTTGTACCTGACTTATTAGTCAGGTTCAGTCCCTTCATACATTTTATTCTGAATTTTTTATTCTATCTTGTTGCTTTCAAAATTTAAGTCTATTTTTCCACTAACTAAGCGTTATTTACAGAACTAGCACATGCTTGCCTTCTAAAGGGTAAATTTTGCTGGTATATCTGTGTAAATATTTATTGTTATTCCTATCTAGCTAGGAGTATATTTTTTCTTAGTGGGCCAATTTGTTGCTGGTAAATCCGAGGTGCGTATTATATACTTGGTTTTAGTTTTTGGACCCAATCCAATCCTATTTAAAATGCTTTCTATATAAATTATGATTAACTGTTTTCATCAGATCGTTCATTGATCTATTCGCACGTTTACGCTATTTGTTGGAAGCACTTGAGAAAACTTTTGTGCTTTTTTATGTAATTATCTCAGCTATTCACTCGCACAAAATCTGATAATAACCTATATCCCACCCTTATCTATATTATTTTTATTGTATATATATATATATATATATATAGCTAACTATTAGATTGAAAGAACAGCATCTGTAGCGGTGGCTTTTTGGTGTCTGTTTAAAAAATGACTAGAATATTTACCTTTATTTGCTATTCAAAGTGTCTATATACCTATGTATATAATTTGATCCGTTTTGCTCATAACTTGCTTACTCTTTACTACATTACTTTTTATTCTTATACCTTGATTCAAGTTGAGCATCATTGAGTATTGATTCGTTAAGCTCTGGGTTCAAAGTAAAATAAGAGCATCATGCATTCTTTGTGGTCTTGCTTCTATAGTTAAAGTTCTTTTTCGTACAAGACCCTTTCAATTCATGTCTTTTTTTATTTTGTTTTTCCGAAGAGCCGTGTAAAATAGATTTATGGTGGCCTAACAAAAGACGTTTAAAGATTTATTTAAGTTTTTGTTGCCATTTTCCATTTGGTCTCAATCATGGAAGAATCATAACTATGTGCATCCGGATGGGCTCTTCTAAGCTTATATTTCGACACGTTACTCGATTAATTTTTTTCGCTATGACTTAAGCTTGTTTGAAGTTATAATTTTTGTTGTATTTGATATTTACTTATCTTCTGTGTATCATAATTTCTCTTCTCTAATATTATAACATTTTGTTTCTATACTTTTAACAGATATTGGCCAATGGCTCCTCTACCATACCTCGTGGCCCAGTCGGATTGAATTTGATCACCAGTGGTTCCATCTCCGTTGATGGCTTCGTTGTAAAACAGCTTTCTCCTACGGAAGAAAATATTCTACTGCCGAATGCTTCTACTTCAACCACAATAAATACTTCATTGTTCCCAGTATCTAATCCACTGAATTTGTGGTTGCTCCGTGTCTCCGAATTGTCTCACCGTCTCCGAGTTGAGCGAGCTGTACTTCGCGGCAGCAGGAATGCCGTGCGAGCTCTTATGGGAGTCCAAATGCACATTGAGAAAGGTATCAAATTACAGGTAATGTTATTGAAACATTTTGGTGTCTTTTAGATGG